AAAGAGCACTTCGATATTAGTAAGGAGTCAACGTTTTAGCAAATAACGTTGACTATAGGAGAAATGCCATTGAATATTTAAGGAATGGATCATAAGTAGCGTGCGTCCTTCGAATTATGGATGATTCACGACGCGAAGCGAAATGCAACTCTAGTTATTTTTAATGGTGCTTAAGCAACCACCCGAACTTCCCAAGTGCTTGTATAACATAGCACGCGCGCTCTCTTCATTGTAGAAAATCGCATATTTTACAAGGATTTGTAGGGGAAAATGTGCTGGATGGCAAAGCTTGCCATTCAGCACATTTTCCCATACAAATCCTTAAAAGATTTTCGATTTTATATTAAATACTATTTCTCTTGTGTTACATTTTATAAGCTGAAACTTTGCCTTTCACTGAGTCCCGAGAGGATTAATTCTGGGGTACAAAACGATGGATTTTTTTGGATGAGGAAAGACGTCTTATTTTTTTGTCCCCCAGAACAATTCCGCTCGGGACTCAGTGCAAGGGGTCTATTCCTGAGCGAAGATAATATCTTACACATTCTGGTTGGTTTTGTTGTTTGTTACAGCCACGACGTTCTGCGAGATCCCATCATGAGTTGTGAAGAGGGACATTCGTTTTGTCGATACTGYATTGGACAGTGGTTGAGGAGTGTCGATAGGTGCCCCTTGGATAACAGCTTGATTGAAGACCCGAACTTTTCGCGTAACCTTAATGTTAGAGGCGTCATAGATAACCTAAAAGTTTATTGTCATCCCCAAAGAGAAGATAAAAATCATAACCAGGAGTCAGCTCCAGTCGATGTACGTAAGTGCATGGAAAAGTGGTCTGCTTGTTTCGCCTTCATGAATTCATTTGTTCAGATAACTACTTGTCACTAAAGCATTAGTTCCTCAACTGGGTCAGCCCATTGTCAGGATATGGAAGGGGGATCCGGATCCCGATTCACGCTCTATTTTGTCCTGAAATCCCGCGTCCCGCGACAGTTTGCCATCGACGACCATATTCAACATATTCAAAGGCGTTTGATTTTTATTTTATTTATTAATGTTCACGTTTTACCCGAAAATAAGAAAGCCAGAATATTGAATCAGGCAATTCCAATCATGCGAGTATATTTTCATGGATCCCGCGCTATATTTCATTCGTTTCCCGCAAATACCCTTACAGACCCTGGATCGTCTGTGCCAAGTTACGCATGGTTTCTGATCCAAGTCGTTGACAATGTTTGGTATAAGGAAAACGAGAGAACATATATACAATGGCTTCTGTGGGTGGACAAGTCCTTCAAAGTTTCCTAGGGCCGGATAATGCTCATTTAAAAGCCCTGAACAATGACTTCGCGAATTTGCCTCATAATTTTAGTCTGGGGTTCTCATGAAGAGAAATACGTGTTACCAGTTTATGTCAATTAAAGTATGATTTATTGAACTTGGAATTCTTAAGGGTCAATAGATGCTACGCAGAAGTGTACCTGGATCGGCAAACTGGAAGCTCTTCCAAAACACCAACAGACATGTCCTTTTCAGCTCGTGCCCTGTCCACATGAAAACTGCATCACAAAAATGCAGAGAATGCGAATAAAAGAGCACGAGAACACATGCAAGTAAAAAAGAGTGGCATGTGACGGCAAATGCGGACTTGAGTTAGTCCAACATGAACTTGAGAACCACAAAGCGCGTGACTGTCCTGAAACACTGATTCCATGTCCATACCAATGTACAAGTGTA